GGGGACCCCTTTTGGAACGTGCTTGAAGGGCCCTATGTGAAACAATGCAGTGAACCTGCTTGCTGGTTCGGCAGGGAATGAGAAATGGAATGGCCCCAAGAAAATCCATCCAACTGGTGGCTTTCCGCTATGGGCAATCCTCCGGTTCATTCCCGCAAGACAGGTCGCGAAAAGGGGACGGCAGGCTCGGGGCTTCTTGTGGCTGAACGATCCAGTTCGAAGGGCTAGGAGAGGTCTGGTGCTATTGGCTACGATCTGGTTTTCGGGTGGCGCAGCCAGCGGCGCGCTCCAGGGGTCTTTTTTCCCTTGAAGGCCGCGCTTTTCCCATGGAAAAACACCCCCAATCTTATGTTACACAGCTCATGGAGCCATAGATGACCTTATGCTATTTGTCAAAGATGATCTTTCCCTTGTCAGTTTGGGCACGATGCCTGGCACTGCTTCTCGAATGCCGCCTCCATTCGCTGGCCCAAGGCGCTCGCTTGATTTCAGGCTATAGAAGCGCGAATCAAACCACACGCGCAAGATGCCTCGGCGAAGGCATTTTCTGGGAACTGGCGTTAGGTGTAGGGTGGATGAAGCTTTCCTAAACTCTTCCTTTTGCCTTTGGCGCCAGCTTGTGGTTTGACAACTCCTGGCTTTGAAGTTTTCGAAAGCTCTCATTTGGGTTGACTCCTGCGGGCCCCGTCGAGCGCGCGACCCGTCGCCATGTTCGACTTCGACGAGATCGAGGCAAGCGTTTGCGACCAGCTTCGCGGGCGTTGCCCTCGAGACACCAGGCGTCCTATGGTCAAGGAATGGGCACCAATTGGTGGCTTGGGTTGCTTCTGGGCGTCATGGCAGGCGGGCTTGTTCCTTGGGGATTGTGTTGTTTTGTAGCGGGTTGCTTGCTTTGCTTGGCTCTTTGCGAATCAGCCGGGTCTGAGAATCTGACCTGGTTCCCCCAACGACACCTCAGAAGGTCAGCCAGGTGCAGCTTTGGTTTGCGGGTCTCTCGAAGCTTGGACTTGACTGATATGGGGGGAGATGGGCGCAGGCCAGTTGGGCGTTTTGGGGACAGCAAGCAGGACCCTGCTTTGCCGAATCGAGGCTCATCTGCCAAAAGGGCGACCTCAATTTACCCTCCTCTCACGAGCAGATGCTCCAATTGAACTTCCGGTCTTTGGAATGGGGCGCGTCTCCCAAGTGAGAAATCTCTTTGGAGGGGTATTTATTTTAGGAATTCCCAAAATAAATCGGGAAAAAAGAAGCCCAAAATAAATCCGCACCCAATCTCCCTTAAGGTGCCTGTGGCCTTTGGGCGATCCGACTTCGGGCATGGCCAATGGCCCAGAAAGCTTGGGACCGTGCACGGGCCTCTCTTGATCTTTGTGGTTGGGCTTCCCTTTCGCCACCAATCCATTAAAAAAAAAAACGGATTCTTCCTTCTTCCGCAAGTCTCTGGTATCCCTTTCCCCGTTCGAACTCCTCCCCGTGGCCTTCCGGGCCAGGAGACCGTGGAGAAGGGTGGCCAGTGGAAGGAGGCGTGCCCGAGCGAAGAAGCGAATCGTGGTTTCCCATTTCGCCTCTGATTGAATCCAACCGAACAAAAAGGCAAGAGGGCCCTCTTTCTGGAAGCTAAAGTTGCAAATGTCCAAGCAAAGCACCAATCAGGGGTTGCCCCTCTTGGTGCCTTGGTGCCCGCATCCAGGAGGGCTTGAGGCCGTTTGATTTCTTTTCTCAGAAGGTTTCCACTAGAAGCCAGCTGTCACTCCGAGGCATGCCAAGAATCTCGTGCTAATTTGGCGCCATTTGTTTTTCTCTTGCTGGGGCTATGATTGAAGGGACACCAAAGGATCGGAGACAAGGTAAAAGAGAACTCAAACAAATTTTGTCTTGATCAGGGCTCCTTATAAGATACATTCCACCAGAATAAAGGGAAACCACCATTTACAAGGCAATGTTCAGGTGTATAATGTAAGGATCCCTGTTGATGTTTGGCGCTTCACTCGATGTCGGCTGGACTCTCCGCAAATTTGCTCTGTGCCAGAGCTAGAGAAGAGGACTTTCGGGGGGGGGGGGGGTTGCTTTGAAGAGAAAGCATGTTTGAATGGGCCACTGGTTTTGGTACACCTTATGTTTGTTCCCTGTGTATTGCAACTATTGCTACCTCCTACTACCTCCTACTACCTCCTCCTCCTCCTCCTCCTCCTCCTACTACTACTACTACTACTACTACTACTACTACTCGTACTACTACTACTGCTAATGCTACTGCTACTGCTACTGCTACTGCTACTGCTACTGCTACTACTACTACTACCACTACTGCTAATGCTAATGCTACTGGTACTGGTACTGCTACTGCTACTGCTACTACTACTACTACTACTACTACTACTACTACTACTACTACTACTACTACTACTCCTGCTGCTGCTGCTGCTGCTGCTGCTGCTGCTGCTGCTGCTGCTCCTACTACTCCTGCTACTGCTAATAATGGAGTTGTTGCGTCATACTTTTTTGCCAACTGCGAGTGGGCGAGGGGGTTTTGGCTAGTTTTGTTTCCTTTCATTTTCCTGCATGCGCGTTTCTGGGCTTGCAAGCAGGCCGGTCTCAGGACCACAGGAAGACCACAGGGGAGGACCTCGAACAGAATGAGTTCCCTATCCTATAACAGTAGCCACAAGATGCCCTCCCAAAAGTCATGATGTGAGTCAACATTCGGAGCTAGGAGTTTCTGCCAGCCCTTCTTTTTGTTTAAAACAACAAATAATAAGTGTGGCTCTTGAGATGAAGCTCCCAGGACAGCCAATCATTCCCCCATGTTGTTAGCATGGTCGAGCCTTCCTCCAAAATACCGGACTCCTCCAAGCGGGTTTGTATGAGCGTTTGCCTTGCACACCAGCAAACGGCAAACAGCAGTGCGTAATTTTTGTTGAAACGCCGATCAGTTGCACCCTATTCGAAAGGGAGCCATCGACGTCCTGGCGACAGAAGGGGCTTGCATGCATCCTCTTGCCCCTCGAGCGTTGAGTTTTTTCCTTTTTGGTCAAAGGGAAAACGGGGGAGGTACAAGCTGTTGAAACTCCTTGGGGTGGTTCCTAGTCTAAACCGCCAGAAATGGGTGTGTTCCCGTTGGTGTTTCTCTTCAAAACGCCAATTTAAGGAACAGGCCCACTGCCTCTTTCTTGCCAGGCGGATGCCGCACAGGACACGGCGGGTGGAGGGCTGGTCAGCCCACGGTGTCGTTTGCCGCATCCAGTTTGCCATCCTCCCGCGTTGCATGTGACCAAAACAAGATTCGTTTCCCGGTATCAGGATGGTTTGTTCGAGCACATGGATCAAGTGGATGGAAAGCTTGCTTGGAAAAATAGACAAGTACCCATAATGCCACGAGCTTCCATTGGCTGAGCCCGGCGGCGGGCGGTGCTGACAATTCAGTTCTCCGTGTGCCGCCGCTTGGTGGTTGTTGTCCGACAACTCCGTGGCTGATTCAGGCACCTTCACCGGAGATTCGCCCTGAAGGAAGGACCGCAGCAAAAAGAAAATGGGGCCAGTTCCTCGAGAAGGAATCAAGCGACCGGGGGACCAGGGATTCGCTTTGGCGAACCCTGGGAGCTTTGCCAACTTTCCCAGGAGTCGCCGAAGCTTGGCCGGGGGGCCAGACCTCGTGGCCAGAAATGCAGGAGCTAAGGCTTTAAAGGGAGCTTGGGGCCAGGTTCAGTTGGAATGGGTCAGTCGCTGCGCCCCTCTCCCATCCAGCCCATTTGGAAGACCATTTGTGTGGTTGATCTGGAGACACTAGAAGAGCAGCCCAAACCTGAAAGCCGCAGGGCCGGCCGACGAAAACCATTGCTCGTGACAGTGGCAGCGGATTCGCACTGCACTCATCCTGGTCCAGTGGAATCCGGATGGCAGCTCCGAGTTTTCAAGGGCTCATCCAGGTGTGTGTGTGTGTGTGTGTGTGTGTCGCAGGGTACCCCTTTTGTTATTTGGGATGAGATATCCTAGTCATGTCGGGCAACCCCCAATCGCCCTTGCCGGGCTGATGAAATTGGGCGACAGAGTGTCAAACGGTGGGCTTTTGGCGTGGAAGTGACTCTCACTCGCAAGTATGGCAGATGGCCGGCGCAAGAGGTTCCCCTTGCTTCGTTCTCCCTTTTTGACACAGCAAGCTCGGACGGCCAGTTGACATGGGTCTAGGTTGAGGCGGGAAGAATGAGAAGTAGTCCGGTAGTGCCAAGCGAAGGAGCTTTTGACAATTCAACTTGGCGCAACTTGGTGGCTCCCAGCCATCCCCTTAGCCTTGTAGCTTTTTAGTGTTGAGTGGGGATTTCCATTTGACCCACTAAAAGTGAAACTTTTAGCGGGGGATCTGAGGACAGCCCAGTCAAGGCACAGACTTTCCCACTTCGCGGCCGCAGCTTGCCTTTGGCTGAAGGAGCCTGAGAAGTGCACATCGGAACCAGCAGCCGAGAAACTAGGCATGAGGGTAGGAACAAGTCCCATCCACAAGTAGCGGAAGGCCATCCAGCACGACTCACGCAATGAAAGTTGGTCGGATTGAGTTTGGAGGATTTGTCATTGGTGGTTGGTTGAACTTTCAGTTGATCTAAGCACCAGAGCTTCCAAACGTTGCAAGCTGAGCAGAGGGTTGCGCAAGTGGCAGCTGCTTTTTTGTTTCGCAAAGGGGCCAGTTGGCAGCTTCGCTTGGAAATGCTTGGGGGAACAAGAACCCACAGGCCAGCGGCGCAACCATAGCAGACTCTGTTTGCCTGAAGGATCCGCAACTTGCAAGACATGTAGCGAAACTTGGTAGGCTGAGTCCTTCCGTTCTGCAACATGCAGTGGGACAATTTCAGGACGACCTCTTGCATCTCCATGCGCAACACCAAGCAAGAGAACCAAGGTCGCACGTTTACCCGAGCGAGGCAAAAGGACGTCAGGTAAGCCTGAACAACCAGCCTACCAGCCACGCCAGAAACCAGCCACGCCAGAACTTCGATCTATCCCGTGAACCTTTGGCCCGGAACCGGAACCTTTCAGATTTCGCACGGAGATGCTGGGCAATAGTTTGCCTCTCCTCGTGGGGCTGCTGTGCTTGCGCAGAGGCGCCAGGCAGGAGACGGGAGCGAGGGAGCGTGCAGGGATGCTCTCACTCGGTTTGTTACTGGAAGGCTCAGACACTCAGAACCTATGGAGAACTCAAGTTGACCCAAACCCTCCTTTTCTGCGAATCCAACCCCAAAACAGGAGGAGAAGGGATCCAAACCCAAAACAGGAGGAGAAGGGCAAGTTCTTGCAAGGAGCGGAGAAATGCTTCGTGTCTAGAGATTTTGTTTGATAGATGCGGTCGTGTCTAGGGCGCTCCCTTGACATCTTGTACCTCTATGCCAGCCAAGTACCCTCACTCCCACTAACATGGCACCTGACAGAGGGCCCCTACAAGCGGACAGTGATCTTCTAGCTACAGTCCCACAGGTGCCATGGCAACGTGGGAGGGAGGGTATGCCATTCCTATGCTCCGCCGAGCCTCTTGGGAAGGCCGTGGTTGGACTTTGGGCTGGACGCTTCGAAGCAGGCGCGAGAGAGTCCGTTCGATGGCTTGGAGGTGGGAGGTTTGGTGGTTTTGAATTGGTTGTTTCAGGGGAAAACGTCTAGAACCCCATGAACAAAAATGGTTTCACTGGGGCAGAGTCAAGAATGGGATCCCATTTTGGGGGATTGGTGATCACCACCCATTTTTTCGAGCCAATGTTAGTGGTTGGATTGAACCGGATGTTCACTGGGGGTTCGGATTTTGACCCATGGCCATACTGTGGACGGACGAAATCCGTTTCGCACCACCTAAAAAACCCTAGAATGATGATTCCCCTGTAAAAACCAACGAACGCTACAGTTTCCCATGGTTTCAAAGTGGTGTCGGATTCTTGTCCATCCGCGTATCTTGAGCCGGCTGAAACCCAGCGGCTCGCGAGGTGCTGGGGGTGTGGCTGCTGGTGTTGAGCCACCCGGACTTTGAGGTACCGCTGCCGGAGGCCACGCCAAGGGATCCAGAGGAAGCGGGGAGCCCATCCATTTTGCTCTTCTCCTTTTCGGAGGAAGGCTTTTTGCTTGTTTCTTCTTCTTGTTTTTGCTTCTTCTTTTTTTTTGTTTCTTTTCTTTGGAGAAAGAGTGCTGCCTGGTTTGAACGAAGAAACAGGTGTGCAAGGCAAGATGATGTGTGCGTGGAAGCAATCAGCAACTGTACAAGGAGAGCTCAAAGCAAGAAGTTCAACTACGCCCAGAGAGGTTTCCTACCCTGTTTTGGGTGCGCAGCCCCATATTTCCATATTTAGGCGGTTGAAGTATTGCTTTTGGGGCCGGTTCTGCACGAGTGTTTCTCGACATCGGGGGCCTTTAGGTGGTTGGCTTGGGCAAATTTTGGGCAATGGGTCACCATTTTTTCCAGGGTCAGCAGGAGACTCCAGGCAGACACGTTCCCACGTGTTTCTCCCGGCCGGGTGTGCCAAAAAAAGCCCCGGATCGCCCACTTCCGGCGGCTTTTTTTGTGCTTTCGGCAGGCGGTGGCACAGGCCAGCTTCGGGATGGTCTTCGAGCCCCGGTTGGCCAGGGAAGACTTTTCTTCGGAATTATTTTTCCTTCTTTTTTGGTTTACTTTTCTTTTCTTGTTTTCTCCCCTTTTTTTCCTCCTCTTGTTTTCCTTTCTTTTCTTCCTCTGGTTTTCTCCGTTTTTTTTGCTCTCCTTTTTTTAGTCGGAAAGGAGGGGTTCAACTCCCCATACCAATCTGCATATTTTGCAATGGATTCCAAAACCTTTTATCAGGAAAGGATCCATCTTTACCATGGTGTTTGCGTGTTTTACCCCCGAATCGATGAGCTTTAAATCATGCAGAATCGACAAGGGCATAGCGAATCCGTCTAAGGAGTACCTCCTGCTGCTGCTTCTCAGCTGGCTACTGGAGCAGCTCACGCAGTGCGAGGACTTCAGGCGCGCGGATGACATTTAGGTTGCCAAAAGAGGGAAGCTCAAAGATCTAAGACAGATTTTTTGAAAACGACGATGTTCTGATATACTCTGATTCTGGCCTTTCTACGTTGCAGTGTGGTCTTTTGGGTTATTTGAGCATTTTGCCTCTCTCCCACATGGCACCTGACAGGGACCCGGTGTGATCAGGAATTCGCTTTCACCGTCAGCGCTTCTGTTCTGTGGGCTTCAAAAAAGAATCACAGGAGTTGACCCCAGGTTTAAGTCTTTGGTTTTCCATTTACCAGGGCAAGCCGTCCAGTTTGGGGTTGCCCCGCATTTTGATTTTGACCCACCCACCGCCATAGAGTTGAGCAGCCTGTGGCCGATTCCGATGCCAGGCCCGGGCAGTACCGGGACGAGAAGGGTTCCTCCAACAGCCGCCCCTTTGGTGCATTTTGCCAAGGGATGTCAGGACTTGAACTTTTCGCCAACTCATGGGTTTTCCCTATTAAACCCACTAAATCACCTTTGCAGGGGAGCAGAAAAAGAAGCCTCCAGCCCAAAAACAACTCCTCTCCGAAAAGTTCTTACCCACGAGAAGTCGGTCCAACTTTTCGCCCGGGGGCCCCGCAGATTTTTCGCTCGCCCGCCCCGAGACCTCCGCGGCCCGCTGGCGCGCTTCGGGCCGCAGCTGGGGCTGTGGCTGCTGTGCGTCTGCGGGTCCTCGGAGCTCGTGGCGCGGCTGGGGGTGCCGGAGCTGCTGGAGGCGGGGAGTCTGGGGGTGTCTGGGGGTGTCGGGTTTGAGGGAGGTTTCGGGTGAGGGAGGGTGTCTGGGGGTGGTTTAGGGCAAGTTTGAGGGGTGTGGGTTTTGGGGTTGAGGGGTTTTGGGTGTTTGTTGGGGGTGGTTTTTGGGGTGTTTTTGGAAAGAGGGGTTGAGGGTTTGGGTTTTTTTGGGGTTCCAGGGTTTAGGTTTTAGGGTTTAAAGTTTGAGGGGGTTCAGGTTTATGTTTTTCGGGTTTGGTTTTAGGTTTCCGGGGTTCGGGGTTTCAGGTTTAAGTTTTTAGGGTTTGGGGGTTTCAGGTTTATGGGGACCAAAGGGACTGGACGTGGAGGAAGGGAGGGTTGGGCAGACAAAAAAGGCGCCAAGACTCCTTTTGCCAGAAAAATAATAGAAGGCTGCAGCTTCAAACTGCGGTCTTAGGTCAAAATGAGGGGCAGCACATTTGAAAGATGTTCGAGGCTCCAATCGAACGCAGGCCTTTTTTCAAACTAAACCGCAATTAAGTGTAGTAGTTGTAGACGCTTGAGCCCCGCACCCGGCTTTGTGCCAAAACCTTTGTGAAATGTCAAGGATCATGTTCAATGAACAAGCGGATTGATTGATCGATGATGTCATGACTCGCATCCGATTTTTCAGAACCGTATGGAAGTCATGAGTCAAACTCGATTGGAGACCCAAATCCCTGCTGCCAACTTAGTGAGTTTTTCTACTCCCCTGTTTGGCACAGGCTTGTCCTTCGAGCACAATCTTGGAAACGGCAAGTGTAGGACCAACTGACAGGTGGCAAATGGGAAACTCAGGTTTTCTGCCCACAGTGATGTCCTACGCAAATCGCGTGCAAGATCCCTCGCCTTCTGAGCACCTTTAGGGAGGCGGGTTGAGGCAAAGCTGTTTGACAACTCATGGGGTTTGCAAGCCGTGGGAATGCAAAAACTGGACCTATTCTGGTGGATGCATAGCTCCAAAAGTGCAGGGAACAACTTGAATCCATGTTTCCGCCCCAGCCCTTTTGCGCCTTCGGACCCTTCCTTCTACACCCTTTTGCGTGTGCCTCGCATTTTATATGTTTTTTGGGATCACTCTCCGGCGGTGTGGTTTTTTTCCTCTCGGCTGTCTGGCGCGCACTTGCGGGAGCCGAGCGGCCGAGCGGCCGCGCGCGCAGGAGCCGCTGCTCCTCGTGCTGGAGGTCTTCTCCTGGAGCCCCAGTCTGGCGGCGCTGGCGCGGCTGGTGCTCGCCTGCTGCGCCCCGGCTCAAAGAAAAAACGGGCGAGAGACGGCTCTAGGTCCAGCGAGGGGCCCTTTGTGACCCCAAAAAAAGGGTCAGAAAGCAGTGGTCCCAGCTGGGTTTTTTACACATTCCTGTTGTCTCATGGTTTCAGGGCGACACTTCGCAGACAAGCAGCCAACACATTGATGCGGGAGGGTTCCCACAGAAACAAGTTGGTACCCTTATTCTAACCTCTACTGGAGGACCTAGGAAAGGCATATGGGGGTTGATCGAAAGGTCTGATGAACATGATGGACATGGGATGACTCAATGACCATTTGGGAAAACCACTAAACAAATGATATGTCACCACTAAATGGGAGCAGTTGCCCATGGGATGACCATTAAAACCGCAAAAAAAGATGATATAGTGTCCGCTAAATTCAAAGTTACCCATGGTCGTTTTGGGTTTTGAGAAAGCCCCCAAGCTTCCGATGATGAAGATTCCTTTCACGAGGGAAGCTATGCTCAAAAAGGTATGGAGGGTTGGATGGTTGCTACCGTGAAATCTGTGACATTTCGACTTAGTGGCTTCCAGCCATCCCCTGGCGTTTTGGGTTTTTAGCTGCTTTAGTGGTAGTTTGCGACTTAAACCCACTACACGTAATTTGACTTTTAGCAGGGGATCCGAAAACGACCAGCCCAGCTGACTTCTTTTTTTCCCGGCATCTCCAGCTTTTGCCCACTTCGCCGGGGGATTGTGTTTTCGCCGAACAATTCGCCCGGAGTCTCGCGGAGGCAAGCAGCTCAGATGGAAAGCCCCCCAAGAAGAGGGTGACAGGGGGCGTGTTCTTTTGTGGGATAAATTTTCTCAAAAGCCATGGGACGTTGACACCGGATCTTTGGTGCATTTTGCCAAGGGATGTTAGGACTTTAACTTTTTGCCAACTCATGGGTTTTCCGAATTAAACCACTAACAGTTATTCACTTTTAGCAGGGGAGCAGAAAGCAACCGAGGGATGGTGTCCACTTCAATGGAGTTATGAATGTTTTTTTTCCCCAAGCTTCCCAAAGTCCCACCCAGTTTGCAGATTTGAGGGTAGGGCTCCGAGAAAAATATTTCTCCATGTTGCCTTGCCATTTGAAACATGGCTCTTTTTCTTTTTCAACACCCAAAATAAAGTTGGACATTTCACCAAATAGACCAGTTGCAATGCTCCATCGGTGTTTTTCATGCATCCGGATCTTTGCTGAAAGTTCCATGAGAGGTACGCAAACCTCCACTAGGTCCCCCAGGGCCCTTTGGAACCCCTTTGTTGGGGGAGGGTCTTGCGACTAAAATCGACTACCGGCATCCGGATCCGCCACACGTGAGCCGCAGGCGCCATGGGCCTCCAGTTCCGCCTCACGGACGCCTTCCTGCAAGCCGGGGGCCTCCCACTGCAGCAGGAGCCGAAGTGGTGGTTTTGGAGTTTTGGAGTTTTGGAGTTTTGGAGTTTTGGCTTGTGGGGTTTGGGGTTTTGGGTTCTTGGGAGTTTTGTTTTTTTTTTCTTTTTTTTTTTGGGGGGGGGGTTTTGGGTTTTTGGGGCTTTTGTGGGTTCTAGGGTTTGGGGGACACTTTGTTGGCAAGGAATTTGTGAGGTTCCATGGTGTGGAAGGTGACAAAAACATTCCGGTGTGGCTTCCTTTAAAAGTGACCTCAACAGTGTCCAACTCTTGGCTATTCGGTGCCCAGTATTTGGTGATTTGACTGTTTTGAGGCGCTGTGAGTCAGAGGTTCACTCCTTGGGTACTTGGCTGATTTGGAGACGCAACCATGAGGGCCAAGCTGTTGGGATAGCAAGCCTTCACACGGGGATCGTGAGCCTTCACACTGGGATCGTGGCAGCACATGTTCCATGTATGCATGTCAATGCTTGGATGTCCCACAATCGGGAGCCCCCAAAACAGGGGGTCCGTGGTAACACCTACCCCCAGTCTTTCATGTGGAGCCGGGATCGTTTCCATCACATGAGTCACAATCACAACCCGGGTTGACGAAGGTTAGTCAGGGATGATCCCAACCAGAAATAGCTGCGGCCGCGTTCTAAATACTTTACATGGTTCTGGGTAGACCTTTTTTACTACCGGGTTTTGAGCAAGTGACTCACATGTTGATTCGAGGCTTGCGGCTGGTGACTGAAATGTCAACGGATCAACTTCCTTCTGATTTCGCCAGGGTGGACTGGGGCAGGTACTGAGGTCCAAGTCCTCTCTTTGCGCGAGAGAAGCTGCAAAAAATAGATTCATTCCATGAGCTTCAATTCGCAAGGGTTTCTCAAACCCGAAACGGCTGTGAACATTATATATATATATACACATACACCCATTGATTTCATTCTCGCTGGACACCTCGATGTCTTTGATCACAGCCTGCGATTTTGTGCTCCGGCCTGGAGCCTTTGGCACTTGTCTCCGCCTGGTGCGACAGGTATGAAGTCCGGGTGGTGGTGGAATGAACCGGAAGTCGGGCATTCCCGAAGAAGGAAGCCACGAGTTGGGATGGTTTCTCTTGGGGTCATTCCACTTGACTTGCCTTTTTGTTGACCAGTGGCCCTGTCTCCGGGAACCGGCAAGTAGGGAATGACCTTCCAAGTGTTTGGGCATGAACCGTTTGGGGATTCCCTTCAAGGAAGCCCACTTGGGGATGCAGTAGTGCCCTTTTACCAACTTTTTTGGGGGAGGGTTCCCCTACTAAAAAGGACTACCCAAAAAAGTTGGAATCAGAAAGGCCTTGAAGTTCAGCTTTCGAAGGCTGAACATGTATACGCCCATGTATGAACTCCTGGTATGAACCCCTAGTTTGTGGGTTAGTGAACCGTCAGTTCTGGCTGAATTCTGGGAAGTCGGCACCCCGCGCAAGGCTTTGGCCCTAGCGGTGTGGGCGGGCGCCGAAGGGGTGCGGCGCCTGCTGCAGGCGGCGGCCCAACTGGTGGCGAGCTGCACGGGCGCCGGAAGTAGTCGGCCGGGGCACCGGGAGGGGGGGGGTTGGGGTGCCATGGAGACTTAGGATCGATTTTGCAGCCTGGAACCCTCAGAAACCAAGACCCTAAATGGAGGTGAGCTGCGGTGGGGCAATGTTGTGCTGTTTTATCAAGTTTTGTTCTTTCCTCCTTTTTTTGAGGGGGGGGGGGGGTCGGGGTGAGAATGGGGTTCCCCTGAAAAAATCGCACCCAGATGCAACCTGGGTAGCTGAAGGTTAGCGAGAGTTTCTTTCGCCATAAATGGGTTCCGGCTTTGAGCAATTCTTTATTCTGGTAGACCATTTTGATCCCGATCGGTTTGGATCATGAGTCAGGTTTGGATTCGGTGCTCGAAGCTTTTGCGGGATTGTAACGCGGCCGCAGGAGGGAATCTCCTTCTTGCGACTGGAGAGTGTATAGCCGTTTGATTTTGGCACACTCAAAGTGCGTGTTCAAGTTGGACACTAACAAAGAAAAAAGATACACCAAGCGACATTTACTGACCCACCTGCCTCCGATTTTTCGCCGGAAAAAAAAAGCAAGAAAAAAACAATCGGATGCCCAGCCGAAGTCTTCTGGGCCCGTGCAGAAAGCTGAGGCCCCTGTTGGAGCCGCTGCTGGACCCGGAGAAGGGCTTCGAGCCCTCCGGACTCGGCGCCGGAACCGGCGCGCGCCGGGGCCGCGGCAGCCGCCTCAAAGCCCAGGCGCGGCTTCGGAGCTTCGCCTTATGTTGGACCGCAGCAGTGAGAGAGGGGTTGGAGCCCAGCAAAAAAGGGGGGGTGCCGGGATTGAAGCATTTGGGTATGGCTCAAGATGGACCGAGGGTTGCGCAGGCTTTAGTCTTGCATTTGCCAAGGGGCCATGTTGGTACATTTATTTGAGCCAAATGGGGTCAGGGTGAATCAATGGACCCATTTTGCAAGGGTCATGGAGACTCCAGGCAGAACTCATGGCATAAGCTGAGCCACGCCAAAGCTGAGTCGGGGGGATGAAGCTTAGGGATAGTTTCTTTTGCCATGAATGGGTGATCTCCGGCTTCGAAGAATTCTTCACTTGGTTTTGGACAGACCATTTTGATACCGATTGGTTTTGAGTATGACTCGGCTGAGCCTTCTGTCCCGCGTGATTGGGGGCCTGCCTCTCAGCTCTATACATCCCCCGATTGCAGATCCTGACATTCTTTTCAACACGAGGGTGGTGTGAGAATTGTATTGGTTGGTCAAACCAGCTTTGGTTGCTGGCACCCCCGAACAAAACACCAAGAACACCACGGCACTCAAGAAAACCCCTTGCTTTCCGCATCGATTCCCAGTTCTGCAGGTAGCCTCAGAAGCAGAGGACAGCCCTGTGCTGAGCCCGCGGTCGCGGAAGCCCAAGACGGGCGGTACCTGGGCACGAGGCCCCCCGCTGACCACGGCGCCCGGGTCTCCCCTCCAATCCGAGGCTCGGAAGGGAGGGGTAAATGTCGTCGGAAGCGCTTTTCAGGCAACCCCGTCAGGTTGGTGATTTTGAACCCTGGCTTTTGTAGAGGGTAAATGGGCAATCACTCCCTTTAGCCACCAAACCACCAATCCAAATCACCAACTAGGGGGAAGCTGCGTGTTGATTTGTTTTGTTCTGTTTGGAAGATTTGGAAAAGCGTGTTGACCTGATGTGGCAAGACGATGCCTTGTAGTTTGTTTTTCCTCCTTTTTTTTTCAAATCCGACCTTGACGTTGTATTTGGACTCACGCTCACGCTCACGCTCACGCTCACGCTCACGCTCACGCTCACGCTCACGCTCACGCTCACGCTCACGCTCACTGATGCAACACGATGCCTCGTATAGATTCCCTGTTGTTTACAGACATCTCTTCAGCGCCTATGGAACGACCTCCAGGGTCTTGCCGCGAAGTTTCGATGTCGATTTTTCCGCGGAAGGTTCGCTTTTCGGATCGGGGTGTTCTTGCGCGTGGACCGCCTTGTTTCCCAAAATGCCATGAACAAGTGATGCGACTTGTGTCTTCGAAGCAAACCTTAGTGTTTGGAAGGTGCTTGTTTTTTTTTTTTTTTTGTTTTTTTTTTTTATTTTTTTTTTTTTTTTTTTTTTTTTTTTTTTTTTTTTTTTTTTTATTTTTTTTTTTTTTTTTTTTCTTTTTTTTTTCTTTTTTCTAACGTGACCCTTTCCTTTCTTCCACCCCTCCCCCCCAAAAAGAAAGAAGGTAACCAACCTCCCAAACAAATCGAAAACAAGCAGAAAAGAAGGACCCCTCCCCCAAAAAAAAGAGGAGGTAAAACCCTCCACCCCAAAACCCCTACAAAAAAGCAAAATCAATCAGAAAAGAAGGACCCCCCCTCAAAAGAAAGAAAAAGAAAAAACAATAAGCAGATAAAATAAAACTGAAACAACCCCCCCCTCTCCCCCCCAACACAATTCAAGACAACTAAAACAACAAATCTGGGGGTAAACCGGAAGGTGGCGGTCCAGTTTGAGAGCCTCAGCGGCATGTTCGCGGAGCGGGACGCGGAGCTACGGGAGCTCCACGCGGAGCTGGACGGCCTCGTGCGGGACCTGGACCTGCCACTGGCGGTGCCCAGCGGGCGGAGCCCCGGGCGGAGCAACGGCCACAGCGCCTTGCAGCTAAGTGCCCTTTCTCACCAACCTTTTTGATTGGGAGGGTTCCCCTACTAAAATCGAGAGGAAACAGTTGGTTCTCCTATTCTAACGTCTCTACTGGACCTAGGAGGTGTTGGTGTTCCTTGGGGCTAGAAAAGGAAGGCCGACAAAAAGAAGGCGCGGTTGCGGTTTTCCATCAAAACCCGAAACCCGAAACCGAGCCAGGCGAGCCACAAGCGCACAAGGCTTCTGCCTGGTTTTCTTGCTTTTTCTCAGTACATCTCAACCATTTCTCTGAGGTAACTAGTCACCTCGCCAACTCGTCCTGTGAGTTGCTCAGGGCTCCCAAAGCTCCCGGATTTTGAAGGTGCCACCAGGTCGGTATCCCCCTCAAGACTTGTCACATCTTGCGGAATCATGATCACTCTGAGCGGAAAAGGTGTCACTGCTTACGGAAGTGAAACTGTCACTGCTTACGGAAGTGAAGCCACTACACGCGGAAAAGTACAGGGGTAGGAAGCTCCTTCCTTTCTAAGGCTCCTTTCTAAGGCTCCTTTCTAAGGCTCCTTTCTAAGGCTCCTGGCTCCTTTCTAAGGCTCCTTTCTAAGGCTCCTTTCTAAGGCTCCTTTCTAAGGCTCCTTTCTAAGGCTCCTTGCTAAGGAGAACCTTCATCACGGCCCCCTTTTCAGGAGGAATTGGCTGGGGATCCGCTTTTCGAGCTGGAATGCCGGATTCCAGCTCGAAAAGCGGATCCCCAAGAAAACCTTCATCACGGCCCCCTTTCAGGAGGGATTGGCCGGGGATCCGCTTTTCGAGCTGGAATGCCGGATTCCAGCTCGAAAAGCGGATCCGCAAGACAACCTTCATCACGGCCCCCTTTCAGGAGGGATTGGCTGGGGATCCGCTTTTCGAGCTGGAATGCCGGATTCCAGCTCGAAAAGCGGATCCCCAAGACAACCTTCATCACGGCCCCCTTTCAGGAGGGATTGGCTGGGATCCGCTTTTCGAGCTGGAATGCCGGATTCCAGCTCGAAAAGCGGATCCCCAAGACAACCTTCATCACGGCCCCCTTTCAGGAGGGATTGGCCGGGGATCCGCTTTTTGAGCTGGAATGCCGGATTCCAGCTCGAAAAGCGGATCCCCAAGACAACCTTCATCACGGCCCCTTTTCAGGAGGGATTGGCTGGGGATCCGCTTTTCGAGCTGGAATGCCGGATTCCAGCTCGAAAAGCTCCCGATTGGCGGGGTTCCGCTTTGCCGAGCTGGAATGCCGGATTTTTTTTCCAGCCGAAAGCGGATCCCTAGACAACCTTCATCAAAAACCTTCATCACGGCCCCCTTTCAGGGGGATTGGCCGGGGATCCGCTTTTCGAGCTGGAATGCCGGATTCCAGCTCGAAAAGCGGATCCCCAAGACAACCTTCATCACGGCCCCCTTTCAGGAGGGATTGGCCGGGGATCCGCTTTTCGAGCTGGAATGCCGGATTCCAGCTCGAAAAGCGGATCCCCAAGACAACCTTCATCACGGCCCCCTTTCAGAAGGGATTGGCTGGGGATCCGCTTTTCGAGCTGGAATGCCGGATTCCAGCTCGAAAAGCGGATCCCCAAGACAACCTTCATCACGGCCCCCTTTCAGGAGGGATTGGCTGGGGATCCGCTTTTCGAGCTGGAATGCCGGATTCCAGCTCGAAAAGCGGATCCCCAAGACAACCTTCATCACGGCCCCCTTTCAGGAGGGATTGGCTGGGGATCCGCTTTTCGAGCTGGAATGCCGGATTCCAGCTCGAAAAGCGGATCCCCAAGACAACAACCTTCATCACGGCCCCCTTTCAGGAGGGATTGGCCGGGGATCCGCTTTTCGAGTTGGAATGCCGGATTCCAGCTCGGACCCCCAAGACAACCTTCATCACGGCCCCCTTTCAGGAGGGATTGGCCGGGGATCCGCTTTTCGAGCTGGAATGCCGGATTCCAGCTCGAAAAGCGGATCCCCAAGACAACCTTCATCACGGGCTCCTTTCCGGGAGGGATTGGATGGGGATCCGCTTTTCGAGCTGGAATGCCGGATTCCAGCTCGAAAAGCGGATCCAAGACAACCTTCATCACGGCCCCCTTTCAGGAGGGATTGGCTGTGCCGGATTCCAGCTCGAAAAGCGGATCCCCAGCCAATCCCTCCCGAAAAGGGGGGCCGTGATGAAGGTTGTCTTGGGGATCCGCTTTTCGGCCAATCCCTCCTGAAAGGGGGGTTGTCTTCAGGATCCGCTTTTCGAGCTGGAATCCGGCATTCCAGCTCGAAAAGCGGATCCCCAGCCAATCCCTCCTGAAAGGGGGCCGTGATGAGGTTGTCTTGAGCTGGAATGCCGGATTCCAGCTCGAAAAGCAAGACAACCTTCATCACGGCCCCCTTTTCAGGATGGATTGGCTGGGGATCCGCTTTTCGAGCTGGAATGCCGGATTCCAGCTCGAAAAGGATTGGCCGGGGATCCGCTTTTCGAGCTGGAATGCCGGATTCCAGCTCGAAAAGCGGATCCCCAAGACAACCTTCATCACGGCCCCCTTTTCAGGAGGGATTGGCCGGGGATCCGCTTTTCGAGCTGGAATGCCGGATTCCAGCTTGAAAAGCGGATCCCCGAAAAGCGGATCCCCGGCCAATCCTGAAAGGGGGCCGTGATGAAGGTTTGTCTTGCGGATCCGCTTTTCGAGCTGGAATCCGGCATTCCAGCTCGAAAAGCGGATCCCAGCCAATCCCTCCTGAAAGGAGGCCGTGATGAAGGTTGTCTTAGCGCCCTTTTTTCAGGAGGGATTGGCTGGGGATCCGCTTTTCGAGCTAGACTGCCGGATTCCAGCTTGAAAAGCAAATCCCCAAGACAACCTTCATCACGGCCCCCTTTCAGGAGGGATTGGCCGGGGATCCGCTTTTCGAGCTGGAATGCCTTCATCACGGCCCCCCTTTTCGGGAGGATTGGTCGGGGATCCGCTTTTCGAGCTGGAATGCCGGATTCCAGCTCGAAAAGCGGATCCCCAAGACAACCTTCATCACGGCTTTTTTTGAGGAGGGATTAGCCGGGGATCCGCTTTTCGAGCTGGATTGCCGGATTCCAGCTCGAAAAGCGGATCCCCAAGACAACCTTCATCACGGCCCTTTTTCAGGAGGGATTGGCCGGGGATCCGCTTTTCGAGCTGGAATGCCGGATTCCAGCTCGAAAAGCGGATCCCCAAGACAACCTTCATCACGGCCCCCCTTTTCGGGAGGGATTGGCTGGGGATCGCTTTTCGAGCTGGAATCCGGATTCCAGCTCGAAAAGCGGATCCCCAAGACAACCTTCATCACAGCCCCCTTTCAGGAGGGATTGCCGGGGATCCGCTTTTCGAGCTGGAATGCCGGATTCCAGCTCGAAAAGCGGATCCCCAAGACAACCTTCATCACGGCCCCCTTTTCAGGAGGGATTGGCTGGGATCCGCTTTTCGAGCTGGAATGCCGGATTCCAGCTCGAGAAGCGGATCCCCAAGACAACCTTCATCACGGCCCCTTTTCAGGAGGGATTGGCCGGGGATCCGCTTTTCGAGCTGGAATGCCGGATTCCAGCTCGAAAAGCGGATCCCCAAGACAACCTTCATCACGGCCCCCTTTTCAGGAGGGATTGGCTGGGGATCCGCTTTTCGAGCTGGAATGCCGGATAAGTCCTCTCCACTGAAACACCTTTTGTAGAGGCTCCCACCCCACCGCTTCGGCCCAGCCGCCTCCGCCCAGGCCCCAGCTCCAGCGGCGCCATCTTCACCGCGGACGCCTCCCCGGATCTCGGCTTCTTCTCGCCCTGCGACCGGCTGCAGGCGGCACCCGGGCCGTGCAGTTCCTTGGGGTTTGTAGGTTTTTGGCACGCGGCACCGCCAGGATCGGGTTTTTCTTGGGGGTGGGGGGGTCCGATCTTGGTGGTGCCGGGTGGCTAGGTTTCTAGTTGGTTTAGTGGTTGGGGGTTCAACGAACTTCACCCACAAATCTGAGCTGGCTTGTACACGTTCAGTTGGCTTTTTGGTGGGTTTGGTGGTGGGTTTCCGAGCTAATCCCTACAGGTTAAACTTTGCAGGCAAGGAACCAGGCGTTGACTCCCTAGTTTGTTTTTTTGTTGGTTTCTCGGTTGGGTTTCCGCATTTCACCCACTCACCTTGGCGGTTCGGAACTAGCGAATCGCCGGGTCCCAGGAAGTTTTTTTTTTGGGGGTTTGGTTGTCGGGTCTCCGAATTTCACCCACAAATTAGTCATTTTTAGCAGGGGATCTGAGGACAGTTTCGTCATGGCGCGGCGTTGCAAGTCCTCACATGAACTGGAGCCCTCATGTGCTTTGGAACCATTGCCCACCCAGGACTCCCAACACTTGAAGATGGTTCACTTGCGGAGTCTGAGGCAGATGTCGGAATCACCCGCGGCCTTCCTGGGTTCCTTTCACGCAACAGTTGGAGTCTTCCTTTTGGGCCTGTTCAAATTCGGCTCGAACCCACAAAAGATAGACACGTATGATACACCTCACCTCCCTGCTTCGGACCATGGGACTTTGTAGGCCTGAAGAATGGAGAGGTACCTTAATTGTCTTATGAGCTTGTTTTTCCGGAGGTTGGGCCGACCCTAGACTCCGGGCAGCTTTGCGCTGTCTGATTCATCCGCTCAAGTCGAGCCCCAGGCCGACGAGCACGGTGGCAGGCCCTACTAACTTTTGCAGGTCAAGATGGTGCCCGGGGAGCATAAGAGGATGAAACCTGAGGTTTCGTAGCACTTGGAGTGGTGAGGGCTGGTGGAACAAGCAAAAAGAAGCAACTGCCCTGGGCTGAAAGTTTCCCTCGCACCTGGCCAGACCTTTGGCAGCTTGCCGCCCCGGGCCTTCTCCGGGCAGACGCCCCGCACGGTGTGGGGCAGCCCCCAGAGCGCCTCCAGCGACGGCGACGGCGCCGGCCTCGGCCTGGGTCTCGGGAGAAGCAGCGCCCAGAACGCCATGAACGGCACGAACGCCATGAATGGCATGAGCGCCATGAACGCCATGAACGGCAGGAACGGCATGAGTTTGGAGGGCTGGGCCGGCCACCAGGCCCACCAGGCCCACCAGGCCCAGCAGCGCCACCAAAACCACCGGGAGAACGGCGCCGCGATGCACCCCAGCGGCGGGAGGGAGCCGAACGGCGCGGTGGAATCGGTGTCCCCGCGATCCAGGCGCTATGAGGTGCTGGACAAGCGACTCGGGCTTGAAGGGCGCATGCACAGTCGTGGGGGGGGGGGGGTGTTTGAGACGCTGCCTTCTGTGCTGGAACAAAAACCGCGGCATGCTCTGATCGGAAGCTTGGAGGCTTTGGTTTCTTCAAACACACATCAGCCGCAAGCAAACCCGGGTAGACGAAGGTTGGTACGGGCCAATCCCAACCAGAACCAGGTGCGGCCGGCTTTGTGGCTAGGCCATGTTGCCAGGATTGTGACTCACATGTCCCGTGTTGGCATCCAGGAAGATCGATTCCCTCCTCACCGCCCTGGGCGCTGGCGCCAACGACGCGCCAAGCGCCCCAAGCGCCCCAAGCGCCCCAAGCGCCCCAAGCGCCCCAAGCGCCCCAAGCGCCCCAAGCGCCCCGCGCGCCGCCACTTCGAGCAGCGCCAGCGCGACGCTGCCGCGGGCGTCGGTGGATCAGCGGATCCAAAGCCTCCAGCAGCAGCTCGGCTGGGTAGGATGGACACTTAGGGTCGACTCTGCAACCTTCTTCATTTAGGGTATTGGTTTTCTAGGGTTCCAGGCTGCAAAATCGACTCTAAGTGCCGATGGCCAAGGGGGGGGGGGGTATGGAGTGGGGATGTGCATGCCATGGCCAGGATCGGGACCCAAGGTCGGTGGCTTGAGGAAGTACTTTCATCAGATCTGGAGCCAAGTTTGGAACGCGGGATTGGGAAGATTGGGAGCGTGCCCTTTGCCTGCAAAGCGGCGTTTTGGCGTTTGGGGAAAGATCTCCCCCCCCCCCAATATTGGGGGAACTAGTCCCACAGAACCCAAGTGGGACAGGGAAGCCAAACTGGATCACGCCAACCTTTGCGCCGCAGTCCGTTTCAGGAGTTGCAGGACGAACCCGCAGTTGGTGGGTGTGTGACCTGAACCATGCAAGCGAAGCAAATAGCATAGCCGCGGTTTCCGGTGGCATTCGGCCAATTGCCAGTCGCTTTTTTCCAACGGTTGAGCTTGGCTTGGCGTGTCGTTTTGAGGAAAATGGAGAACTTGCTGCGGCTGAGATCAGAGAGTGAGGGCGGCTCCGCTGGAGCCACATAGGGCCACAGGGGTGGCTGGGAAAGCGCTCGCGCTTTCCTTGCATTGCATGAGGCTCGATCTGTTTCAGGCCATTGATCTTGGCAACTCAATCATTTGTTGGGGTCCCTACGTTAGGATGCCCCCGCCATTTGTCGCACACAGGGGGTAGAGCAGATTGCCGCGAGCCGATGTAACCAATGTAACCCTTGGAGCGCACGAGCTTTGCGCACGACCGGAGAAAGGTGAAGAACGCCTGGCCGGAGCAGTGGGAGAAAACCGGGCGGCTTCGGAGTGCCAATGCGCTTCTCTATTGACCGGGAGGCCTGCAGAGAAGATCACCCGAAGATGATTGTTCTCGTTTCAAGACCAACTCCAGGGGGCTCCTTTCCACTTTTGGGACATCCTCACCATTTGCCCTGGGGTTTCCTGGCTTCCAAGAAAGAGCCCAACAGCCAGTTTCTTCCAGGGCCCCCCCCCCCCCCCCCAATTTTGGGACATGCCGGCACATTTCTTCTTGGGCATCAGCTGGTTGCCAGGCGGGGCTGTGTGAAAGGTCTTGATCAGAGGTAGCCCGGGCCCGAGGTGAGAGCGAAGACCAGCCAAAGGAGGAGAAAGGCGCGAAGGACGCGAAATGGCCGGCGATCCAACCAACAGAGCATCTTCGTTTGTCCAGGTCCAAGAACGAGCTCTTTTTTGTGGGGGTTGCACTGTTCGGCGTGCTGTTGGAGGTGCTGGTGACGCAGTTTGGGGTGCTTTTTCTGGCGTGCTGCTTGAGATGCTAGGGGGCATGTAGGTTTTGTGCTATTTTGGACTGTTTGGGGTGCTGTTTGAGGTGCAGACAGCTGAAAGCTACTATGGGTTCCTACTTTCAAAAGGGGGCAAGCTGTTTTGCGAATTCGGGCCAGGTTGGTGTTGCAGGTGCTGGTCAGGATGCTGCTGTTTTGGGTTCTGGTCAAAGTGCTGTTTGGTGCGCGGTGCTTGCTGGCGGGTGCGGGTCAGGCTGTTGAAGTCTCCCATGCTATTTGGGGTCTATGCTGTGTTATTTTGATTGTTTTCCTCCAATAGTCAAACACCCGATGAACCATCAGGGCTTGTCATGCCCGTTCGAATTTTATTTCTAATGATCCTACAGGATCTGAGACCAGCGGCAAGGAGGATGAATGAATCGACTAAGAAAGCGCAACTGGACATTTCGGCGTCCTCAAAGCAGGCTCCGGCGGTTTTCTGCCAAAACCGTGCGAGGAGGATGGCGGGATGTTCGACTTCGATGAGATTGAGGTGCGACATGCGGCTAGATGCAGGAATCTTTTTGGCGAGGTGTTCCTTCAAGAGAAAAGGCATTGCTATTGCCGGGGAAGGTCGCGGGGTCCTACATTGATAGCAACCAATTTCGCTTCAGGGTACAGAGAATCCTGATCCCGTTTTGGTTTCAACTCCAAGTGCATTCCGGTCGCAATTTGTGTTTCCGGTTTTCGCCTTTCATTTGGACTGTTTGGTTGAGGCCTTAGGCACCCAAGGGCATCCCGCACCAAAGGCAGCCGTTCCCTGCTGGCGCAACGGTTCTGCTGGCTTCATTGTCAAAGAACTCCTTTTATGGGGCATTCCGTTGCTTCTCGCAAACATGCAATTAGTAAATTCTGACTTGCCTCGTGGGTTGCCTTGCACTCTGCGTGCATAGCCACAAGTTGCATCCTCTCGCCCCATTGTCTCTTTGTTTGTTTGTGTGTGTGTGTGTGCGTTTGTCAGTGTGGTTGGGTTTGCAAGTCAGGTCTTGGCAACTCTTTCCGTTGCCAAAGGTCTTCAAGCTTGCGCGCTCGTCGGGCCCCTGTGCCAAAGGAGAAACTTAAAACCCCTCCGACCCCCTCACTTTGGCGAGGCTCCATAGATGCCTTTGGCAGCATCCAGGAAAGTTTCAAGAGTCCAGGTAGAGAGCGACTCGGCCTTTACATGAAATCGACTCGGACATTAGCTGGTTGTACAAAGGACGACATGAACAAGTCTAAATTTGCAACAGTTTGCTGTAGCTTCGGCCAGCCGCTCCATCCAGCCACCTGACATGGAACCATCTCTTTCGACCGGCAGGAGTGTCACAGAGTGGTATATATATATATATATAATATATATATATATATATGTATATACATATATAAGGCTCCCACTTGGACCCCTCAGATCAAACTCCCCCGGACTGCCCCATTGGTTTGCCAGCAGCTCCTTTTTCCGTTTGGACCGTGGGCTCAGGCGGCTTGCCTTAAGAAAGATGGCGCCAGGAGGCTCAGAGCGCGAAGAGCCCCGCCGCCGAGAAGGCAAAGAGCCCCTCCAGCGAGGCGGGCAGAGAATTCGGGATCTGGCAGCTTGAGCCTTGGCGTCAGGTGGCTGTGGTTCTCAAAAATAGGTTAGCCCCCCAAAATGGCGGTGCTTGCCCTGGTAAATGGAACCAAAGACTAAAACATGCGATCCAATTCCTGGTGGTTTTATTTTGACTCATACCCAGGTAGTTGCTTCCCCCCAAAGAACCAGTCAGCTCCCTTTCGATTGGAAGGAAGCCGAAAGGAGTGGATGGTTCCAAATGCCATGTTGTGAAAGATGACCTTTGCGGGCCTTTTGTTGGCAAGGGCATCGGTGTGTCCAATTTGTTCAAATGTCAAAGGCATCGGTGCCTGTTGGTCTCCGTTCGCAACCGACCCTCGGGCCCCCGTAAGGTCTTCAATTCTCGCTTTTCAGGTCTTGCGAAGCAACGTTTTTGTGTGCCTCCGAGGTCGGCCCGTGGAATTCGGCCCGAATATCGCAGGGAAGGCTTCCCTCGCGGATGTTTTGGCTGGTTGATTTGGCGCGGCCGAGTGGATTCGGCCCCGGCCATGCATTTCAGGTCCCGGTGGAGGTTGCCTTCAGCCACCAGGGCCCGGGGCCCCAAATCGCAGGGGCTCGAGGGCCGGAGTTTTTTAGCAGCGAGCGAGCGGTCTTGGCCTTCTCAACAATTTCCAGGGGCCCCGCGGGTTTGCGCAAGGACGCTTGGTCCTGCAGATTCGCCTGGAACACCTAGCTGCATCTGCCACTGAGTCTTTTCTTTTTGGATTTCCCATTTTTTTCAACAAATCGTACGCCGCATGGCAGGTTATTATATGATGGAGGGGGCGAGGGCAGCAGGCCACTTCTTTGGGGTTGAGAAAGCTTCCATCCTGAATGTTGACCCCGGATGAAGACATGCCACTCTATTCCATGGATAAACGCGCTTCTTTCCTCCACAAGCATCTTTTGGGCATCTCTTTTGGAGAGTGGGGACAAGGGATACGAAAAGAAGAAGAAAAAGCAACAAGTGGCATCCCTTTTCTTAGTGAACCCGAAGCGGTCGACTGCTGTCACTGGTCTCGAGGCCAGAAGTGGAGCAAGACCTTCCAGGCGCGGGGTGTTCTGGGGGTCGGATGTTTGGACAGGGCGGGCGATCCCGCAGTAGCCCCCTTTCTCACCCCGTTTTTGGTTGGGAGGGCTCCCCTGCTAAAATAGACTGCAGAGAAAAGGTACCCTTATTCTAACCTCTCTACTGGAGGACCTAGTCATTGTGCTTTCGTTGAACAGCAGGGGCCTCGTGCCGAAAAGTGGCTAGACACCTGGAAATTCTGTCTTTTGGTTTTTGTTTCCCCGCGACGCCGAGAGGACGTCATGAACTTGGGTGCAAGCGAGAATGTAACTGCCAGTGAACAGGGGCTCATCAGTCCTTCATGTGTCGACCTCCAGAAAACCCTTCAACCTACAGCTTGAAAGACTGAGAACGTGCGGCTTCACGGAATCCTAAGAGGCTCTTTGACAGCTTTGCAGGCGGCATCTTGAAATTCCCAATGTCCGTTTTTCGGGCAGCGCAGCTCTTAAAGGCCCCCTCTCTCTGTCTCTCAGTTGTTCCTCTTTTTCTTGCTGGTTCTGAGCAGGGCCCTATATAGCCTATAAACCATCTTGTGGTTTCAGGCAAAGGGGACCCTAGGATTTGGGTTCATTCCCAAAACTCGGACTTCATTCCTTACTGAGCACCAGCAAGTTCTCTCCGAGGGACGCCTCCGCTACCATCACTGCAGGTGGCCTTGAACTCGGAGGTGCGCGAGCTAAAGCAGCGGATCGCCGAAGAGGAGGCAGCCAGCTGGCGCTTTTTTGGGTGAGACCTGGCCCCGATTTCGGTGTTACCTTACCACATAAAGTAGGAGGCGGCAGACTTTTTCGCCTTTTTCTGGGGTGAGACCCGGGCCCTTATTTTGGTGTTACCTTACCCACATAGAGTGGAGGAAAGTTTTTGCCATCTACTTGCAGCCTGGTGTATGGTTTCCTCTGGTTTTGTTGCAGTTTGCTTGCCTGTTTTGTCCTTGGGTTTGTATGTCCCGGCTGGTGTCTTGTGTTTTTTTTGACCTTTCTGACATGTGATGTCGACCCCTCTGATGGCAAAGAGGGCTGTCTCAATGCACCTGTAATAGAACCTCCAATGCTGGTTGTCGAACCATGACTTTTTGTTGAAACAACATAGTCTATTGATTCTATTGGCTCAATTCTTCGTGGTCATCAGTCGAACGGCCAGTGTCTCCTCCTGCCTCTCTCTCTCTCACAAGACCTATGAGGTTTTTCTAGTCACCAAGTAAGTCGCTATTTTGACCACGAAACATCCACAGGCGCAACGTCGTTGCTTCTCTTCACCTTGACGCAGCTTTGGGGACCCGGCTGGTTCCCATGCCCATGAAGGTAGGGGGGACAACGCTGCTTGGAGTTTGTTCAAGGAAGAAGTGCAATGAGCCATCTTGGAAGCCTCCTGAGGACCGGATCAGACATGCGCATGGCATCCAAATGGTTGGCATTCAGCATCTTTGCCCACATCTGCCGGTTAAACAAAACACACAACTACCAACCCCTCTTTCCATAGCCGCATGTCGGGCAGAGGGTGACGTGGGAGTCGAAATCCCAGTCCAGCAAAATGGGGGCAGCCGAGATGGGGAGGGTGACCACATGGATATACATATATATATATATATACATATATATATATATATATACATACATATATATATATATATGCTAGCCCAAAAAAGGGTAGAAAACACTGCAAATACCAGTGA